CCATTCAAAAAGATATATATTTTTTAATTTTAAAATGTAATTAAAATATTTTATACTGAATAAAAACATATATGATAAAGATTATAAATTGAAATAAATTATTTTATCAATTTCCTTACAAAGAATAATTTAGTCATTTATTTAATTTTTAAAATTCTATATCTTGATATTTTTCAATTTTATTGTACATTAAGTTGGCATTTTTTATTTTAAATGTAAATATATTATTGTTAATGGGCATTATTATATTATATTAAATTTAAACTTATATACTATATTTGAAATTTTATGTTTATTTTGAATACAAAAATTTTATTTAAATTTGTAATTCTATTAAATCATAATATTATATTTATTTAATTATTTTTATTTTTTATTAATATTAATTTGACCATGTTTCAATCACAGTTGAATCATTGAACTTTGAACCAGTGCCTTGATTGGTTTAATTTTGAAAACATTGGTCCTTAGTATTATGTGATTATTTTTAACTACTATTGTGTTTATTATATGGTCCAATGATCATCTCTAGTGACATCTATATTTATATTTAATATCACCTTAGTATGCGATAATTATAAAAAAAATTAAAATAAATATTATTTATTCACCTTAAAATGAATATTAGATAAAAAATAAATATTTTAGGTTTTAGAGTGGTGAAAATAAATAAAAAAATTATAGGAACTAAAATAAAAATTTACTCATTTTTTTTAAAGATTAAAAATAATGATTTCAAATTTTAGAAGAATGAAAAGTAAAGAAAAAATTTATAAGAACTAAAATTAAAACACAATCATTTTGATGGGGAAAAATATTTTATTTTATTTTTTTATATATGAGAATCTTATTCAAAGGGAATAAAATCAGATAAACAAAATTCTTATTCTATAACATAGTTATATATTATATAAAATGTAAATTTAAAATCACTAATCAAATTAAAATATTTTGTGTCATTTGTCCAATAATAAACTATTAAAATTTGGACTCACGTTACATGTGATTAAATTTACTTTAACATTCTTTTAGTCTTGCTGCAGATTATTTGATTTGATTTTACTCATTGTGGGATCGTTGTTTATCTTAAACCATTTATTATTTGTCCTCCGAATACTATTGCTGCAAGTGGGTTAAGACTTAAGTGTAACCAAGTGCGAAAATTAAAATTAGTATAAATTTTTATTATTAACTGAGATTTTTGCAAAACTTATAAAGATACTATTTTATATAGTTTATATTGAGTTTTTTTTTTCTCTTCTTATTACGATACGTCTCAAAAGGAAAAATCAGGCTAATACAATTTTGTAAAACTCTTAAAACTAAAACTAATTTTACAACATACAAAAATTGAGAAAACATTGTTTTGATTATATATGTTTTAAAGTGCTTTTACTTTTAAGGAAGATTAAAAACCTTGGAAAAAAATAGAGTAAATATTACCTACATAGAAAAAAGATATGGGTGTTTGGATTCTATTTTTAAACGTAACTTTTTCTTGTCTAAATGTAAATTTACGTAAAAATTCTTATTTGTTACTTCCAGTTAAACGTAATTTTTCACGTCTTGACTCTAATACAAACACACACGAAATTTATACAAGTCACGTAAAATTTTATATAATAATAGAAAAATGCTTTAAAAATACATCAGAGAGTATGCTGTCAATCAAGAGGTTAAACTCATGGTTGAACAATGCACTTAAATTGTTTTAAATCTTCTAGTAAAAAAAAAATTTAATTTCTTTTATCCAAAATAGAAAGTGCATTAAAAGCATAATAGAGTATGTTGTTAATCAAGAGATTTAACTCAATTGGTAGATGAGTGTACATTGTTATATAGTACTATTTTTCCAATTAATGTTAAATAATATTTAATAATGTTAAATATTTTAATAAGTTGAAAATAATAGTAATATATTTTATGATTTAAGTATTTTTATATTCTTAAATATTTTATAAGGTAAAATTGATAAAGAGACAGTTCCGTATTTAAATTTTTGGTGTATTTGCAATTCAATTCAAACCGAAGTCGTTGTAGTAGTTGGGACTTGGCAACTGTAAGTAGATCACTGGAAGCATCATGTGATTCGCGCACAAACCTAATACTTCAGAGTTCAGATCAGTATTAACTTTTTTTTCATAATTAATTTTTGTTTGTTTGTGAAATTGGAAATCGATATCTAAGAACAACAATAGAATTATTTTTTCTATCATTTTTTCTATGTTATTAAAACTAGGCTTAAATATTTTTTTTCGCTTCCGTAAAATAGGAGACTTTTGCTTCTTGTCCTTTTTAATTATTTTCAGTAAAAAAAAATTATTTTATTTTTATCCTTGTCGTTAAATTGATCATTAAATGTCTTAAGAAAGAGGTACAACTGCTTCCATTTGTTTTTACTAATTTAGACTTTATAAAATCTGACTTCTCTTATATTTTATGTTCTCTTATTTGAATTTATATATGTTAAAGATAGATAAAAATTCATAATTTTACTGAAATCTTAAGAAAAGTTAGTGATTGATTTTAGTCTTATTCAAAATTATGTGTAACATCCTAATTTCTTTCACAACATTTGTTAATAAACCATAATGTTTTTTATTTAAATTTTCTATGCGTGTTAAGCTTATATTTTCTTATTTATTCTTAATTAAAATAAAATAAAATAAAATAAGTAATATTCTAACTTTGATTATAGAAATAAAAGGTATTTATATATATATATATATATATATATATATATTTTGATAAGTAAAATAAATTAAGGAGAATACAAGGGATACCCCAACCCATTACAAAATACAAAGTCACCTAAACAAAATCCAACGTAATCCATACAAAACGTATTTTTATATTCTAAATGTTTTATTTGACTTTTAAAAAAATATATATAAAAAATGTGAAATTTAAAATTTTTACAATGTAATATTCTTTGTATAAATTTACTGTTTTAAAATAAATAAATAATAATATAATGAAAAGAAATTAACAAGTGGTTTCAGGAACCTACCATTAGATCATCAAGCATCTCTTGGAACGATCACGTAAAATATATATATATATATATATTTTTTTTTTTTTTTTCTTACCTGAACAATCAAATGACAGGTGATATAAGAATATAATCATTTCGTTGTAGATAATGATGTGGAGGAAAATTGTAAATTTAATGAAATCAATTGTATTTCACTTCGATGAATTAAAATTTAACTAAAACATAGTTAATATAATTAAATTTAAGTAAAAGTAATTATAACTTGAATTAAAAATAAATTAAAACTAAAATATTTGTGTCTATAAATAAGCACGGAACCTTCAAAGCAATAAAATGAAAAACTTACAAACTTCATATGGTATATAAGCGATGAATTGTACTTTTATCTTTCACTCGAGTATATCTTTTATTTTTAGAGAAATTACTTTTCTCTTCACTAAACCTCTTAAGATAGAAGGAGAAGATATCTATGATTTTTAAAAGAATATATATAATCATAATTATTTGATAAAATATTATAATTTTATTTTATTTGTTTATTTTATGTTATCTAACTATTATTAATATATTATTTAGTTATTTTTATTTTCTTTATTATCTTACATGTGTTGTTTGTAAATATTTTATTTAATTTTTTTCTAATTAAATAAAATAATTTTAAATTTATTTAAATTATTTCTTAAATAATATTATATTATATTAGTCGTATATACATTATAGATTATAAAAAAAAGCTAATTTTGTCTTTACTTATAATTATTCTTTTATTTAACTTTTTTCCTTTCTCTTCCATGTGACTGCTATAGAAAATGGAAAAGAAAAAATATATAGATTTATAATAATAATAATAATATAATCATGATGAATAATTAATTGTTATTGCTATTAATTAACTACTACAATAATGTTATGGGTAATAAACATTTGAATTCATGGATAAGACATGAGTTTGTAGATGAAAGTTTTGATTTTGAAAATTTAAATGAGTATATATATGATAAAGTGAGTGATCCTTGTATTATTATGACTATGGTAAAATTTATTTATCTTGACTTATCACTATAAAACTTTATTTAAATTCAATCATAAGATATATTTAAAAATTAAGTATATATTTATTATAAAAAAGATAATTTAGTGTATAATTATACAATTATTTTTTTTATCGACTTATATGATATTTGTTCTCACTTCTTTTATATTTCTTGTTTCCTTTAGTATACTTATATAAAAAATTAATTAAAATAAATAGTTGCTTCAAATCTTAAACCTTTCATGACATTTGTGCACCTTATATTTCTAGAACTACAATGGTCAGTGGATAAAAAAAAAAGAGACAAACAATACCGAAATACAGGTATCATCAAGATAAAAAAAAAAAAAAAAAAAAAAAACAACATAGGATGGGGTACGAATTATCAAGCCTTAATTTAGGTAGAAATTAATTTGGTTTCAAACAAACTCTTGGATTTTAATATTGTGAATAAAAGATGTGATTAAAAAATAGCCTCTACTAAAGATAATTAACTATTTTTTTTAAAAAAAATTAGTTATTAATAAAATTAATAGATACTTCACTTCAAAATATATATAATTATAAAAGAAAACAGAATAGGAGTAGAGAAAACAATAAATAAAAGAGATAAATCCTCTAGTATTTATCAAATTGATTTTCTGTCCTTTTATAATTTTATTGTTTGAATTTGGTCTCTCAAAATACAAATATGATATATAGCTACGATTTGTATAATTATATTAATTATGTATAATATAAATATTTATATAAGCGACAAGGAATTTTTTAAAAAAGTATGTATAAAAATTTAAAAATTATTTTAAATTATATAAATGAAACTATCAGTAAAAAAGGTAATTAAGCCTTAATTAATTAAGGATTTCCAAACAAGTGCCTGATTCATGGTTTCTTATTGTATCTTTTTTTGATGTATAGTTTCTTAATGTATCCATGTATATTGCACAACGATATGGACCAACCTTACCTTTCTAGTTTGTATAGAAGTTTAGAAAATAAATAAATAAAAGGGAGTTAGTCTTATTTTAATTTTTGTGGCGCACACTCCTTGCATTGAAACATTCTGTGGCTCTGTGTGTCTCAGTCTCACTCATCCTTTGCATCAGTAGAGACTAGAGAGTAATACAAGGTAACATCAAACTTCTTTTTCTCAATCTCAGTTTTGATTTCTGTCATCCCATTATCATTGGAGAAAATCTTAACCCAAATTTAGTCTCTTTTATTATCATTTTAATTCAATTATTATTTCTGCTGCCACAACTTTAGGGCTGCAAATGGCTTCCACTGTTGCAAGCTTGCCTTCACCATTGTTGCTCCCTGCTAGAAAATCACAATCAGGGAACTTCTCAACTTTCCCTGTTTCTCTTCTTTCAGGTGACCCTTCTCTTTCCCCCCCTTTTTTTATGGTTTACTTTCAAAGTTGAGATTTTTGTTCCCATAGACACTGTATGAAATGAAACTATAGCATAAAAAAATGGTTTTTTGACTTCAGTAGCGTTTTTTTTTTTTTTTTAAGTTTTTAAGCATTGTTGATTACTTGATTTAAGTCAAAGTGAGTAGTCTTGGAGACATTGAGCCGTCAGTTCAGTTTCAAAGTGAACATTTTGATATGTCGAAGGTAATCCTAACAACCGAAGAGAAAATAGTTATGTTGTCCTCTGCATAGTTGTTGTGCCGAAATGATGTAATTACGAATGTTGAACTTTAAAATCACCAGCATGGTATTTGGCACTTGTCTGTCTCTAGAAATTAAAAATTTAACAGAAGGTCTTAGTATATGTGATTTTTATGTACTTTTGGCATGATTTATGCACTCTGGCAGTATGTAAAATTCATGAGATTTTTGCACTAGGTTGGTTCTATTAAAAAAGTCGTTGTTGTATCATGGATGTGATTTGTATACTTTTCATCCACAAAAGCTAAATTTTGAGAACTACATTGGCTTACTATTATATGGGGCAATTGTGACTATATCCAGGGCCTTATAAAACCATTGCTATAACTTCTGCTGATTTGTGATAAAAGGTTTGTACCTCTTATGTTCCTGATTCTTGATTTTCATTCTGCTCACTTCACAGGGAGACGAAAGCATGTTTCATTTATTGTGAAGGCTTCTGGAGAAAGTTCTGAATCTTCAACTACCCTTACTGTTTTTAAGTCTGTTCAGAATGTTGTGAGTTTCTCTTCCCACTCCCATCATTCTTGTCATTCTTTCAAAGAGTCACAAAAAGGTACAGTATGTCTAATTTGCTGCTTGTTGATTTTAAAACAGTGGGAAACACCTGAGGACCGATTGGGACTTGTTGGTTTGGGATTTGCAGCCATAGCAGCGTTTTGGGCATCAACAAATTTTATTGCGGTAATCTTCGCTGCTTTCAGTGTTTTGGAAATGAATACTTGATAGTAGATTTTTTGCTGAACTATTGACGTATGGGCTATGAGCCTATGAGGATGCACAAATTTGATACATTGTATTGGATATGATACATATCTGATAGTTATATAACATTTCTTAAAATGTATAGAATATAGTAGCACTAGTATGTACAGGATACGTTTAAAATTTGATAAGGCATTATAAGGTTTAATTAATCATTTGGTCGCTAAACTTGTCCACACTTTGTGTTTAGTCCTTATACCTAGAAACTCTAAATTTTAATCCCTATACAAGTATTTTATTTTATTTTCATTTTTATGTTTTAGTTGTTATACCTCTACTTTGTGACAATTTTACACTGCTAGGAAACTAACAAGAAGGTCTAAACATAAAAAAAAACTGTCGAATGAGAACTTAAACATAGAATTTTTAGGTACAGGGACTAAAGTGCAAAGGTGAGACAAAGTTTAGTGTAGGGACCAAATGATTAATTAAACCAATATATAATTGTCAACATTACTAAAATAAAAATAAAAGTTATAGATCATTCTCATCATAAATCACTTGCTTATTGCTTACAAGTAAAAATAGTGTCAATCTCATTCCCTTCTTGAAGATCACATCCATAAAGAGAAGTAGAGAACAACATCCATTTTGGTTCATCAAGATTCAAGAGACAATGTTTCTATATTTCTATCTTCTGTACACTTTTATGTTTCATATTTTGCTGTATCAAAGTTTCATAACCTTTTTTAAAGACTTGGATGCTTCATAGATATTTATTGGTGAAGTGGCCTGAAGTATCAGTTTTGAATTATTCAGTACGGATATGTGAAGCAAATGCAAGTACAACTGTATAAGTGCTTCATAGTGTATGGCCTGACATGGCCACTGCCAGAAACAAATTGATCTGGTGGTAGAAGAACAAATCCATTGGGGCTATCACAGTTTGATCCATAAATAAATTGTTATTTATTAAGGATTTGGAAACTTCTTTTAAGTGAAAACTGCTTCAAAATGACATTCCTTCTTGCTTTCTTGATTTGGCTGTTGACTCTGCACATATTTTTGCTACGAATAAATTTTATCCCAATTCTTCCACCCTACTGATTTTGTTTTTTTCATTTTTGTATGTAGGCCATTGACAAATTGCCACTTTTCCCAACTGTACTGGAATTAATTGGAATATTTTACTCAGTGGTAAGTGCTGTACTGTGCTGCATACTTGATTTTTTTTTTTGTTTTTGGTGTAATTTCAAATATTTATTTTCAATTGGCGAATACTTCAAACTTCTCTTTCTATTTCAGTGGTTTACTTATCGCTATCTCGTATTCAAGCCTGACCGGTAAGCATTTTGGTCCCTTTTATTCTGATTTCCTTGAGTTTGTTTGATATTAACTACATCATACCTTTGATTTCACAATTGAAGTGAGGAAAGTAAAAGAAAATTTACGGTGAATGGTTAATTTACTTCAAAAGATCTATTAACCACTTGAATGATCTGTTGTAAAGTGGGTAATGATTAGCTACCTTGTAAAGAGATTAATCTTATGTAACTAATGAAACTTCTTTTTTCTTCATAAATAAGACCATTACTGATTCTTTTCAAGAAAAATCCCATTAAAAAGGTTTAGCTTTTAGTGCACTCAGTTTTCTAGCAACTTCACTTGAATTTTCTTATAACAGGGAAGAGCTTTTTCAAATCTTGAACAAGGCAGCATCAGATATCTTGGGCTAATAAGATGTGCAGCCAAAATGCTATTCTAGATTGTGATTTGAAGTACAGATTCTCTGCGGCAATAGTTCTTTTGTGTTGGGAGAAGTGGGTGAAAGAAGGGAGAGGGGAAAGGGGCTATGCTTGTCTTTACTCCTATCGTAAATGTAAGACTACTACATTACATCCATGAATTAAAGCTTACTTTTTTTGGGTTGACTTCTTTGTATACAATTATAATGAAGTTCCCTTGAGCATTTGGATGCAGTTAATAGCACATCTATTAAGAATAAATCTAGCCTAAGTAACTGATAACTTAGAAATGCCAGAAAACATAACTTCAGCTTTGTTGTGATATCAATGGCAAAGTTAAAGTAAATTGAAGAATAACATGCTCTTTCTCCGGATAATATTTCGCCAAGCTCGTCATTGAAATATGTTTATCTTGCCCTGGCAGTAGTTATCCAAAATCACCCTTGTTCGTTGTATTTGTATTCTTATAATGAAATAAGAGGAATACTGACGCTTTCTTTAATAATATATTTACTATTAGTTGAAATATATTAGAAATCATAAATTTGTGTTGAGTCTCACTTTGATTTAGTGGTGAAACTCATTGAAATTTGTGATTTTCAGTTAATAGTAAAAAGTGGTAGAGAGAGAATTAGTGAGTTTTATTAACAACAATCATAAAATAATTTGTATAATGCTTTGTGATATTTTGTTTAGTCAATCTCTTTAGTTCATATTCAAGCTTCATAAGGGCCCAGGAATGTTTTGATTGAGATCAACAAAGGAATCCATTCTCTTTTTTTTTTTTCCCTCTTTTTTTTGTTTTATTTATTTATTTATTTTTGGGATTTTATCTGATGTCTTAAAGAAACATGAAAAGAGAAGGGTGCAAATATTGAATGTTCCATCTTATGTGTATCATTCTTTGAATCATTTATCATGTTGTACCTTTGTGGTATCGGACACGCTTCAAACTCTTTCCTGCATTTGTCAATATAAAAGCACAAAGTAGTCAATCAATTAACTACGCAAGCACAGATGGATGAATGGACTGCTTGACAGTCAATTGAGGTGTTGCCAATTTGCCAACCCATGTTCATAATTAAGCTAAAAATAAAATAAAATCGAATGTTCTTATTCACATATTGTCATCATCCACCGAGGTGATTTGGTTAAGGTGTGCTCTGCCTAAAAAAAATTGTCAATTGTCAATACCCACCCTCATCATGTCAAACCTGTTTCTTTAACCATTTTTTTAATTAATGCCGTTGTGCCTGATAAATGCTTATGTAATTTTCTCTTCGCACTAGTAAAATATACTTATATATATATATATATATATATTTATTTTTATTCATCAGAATTACAATGCTACACTAGAGTTTAAATTTAAAATTTTGTGCACACTATTTCAAAATTTCACCTCTAAGTTGAAATTAGTGGACCAGTGGTTCATTTATACTTTTATATACTAACAATCAGTCACGGATCTAAAAATTTTAAGTAGTGGGAATAATATTTATTTATATATTTATAGGGCTAAAAAGTTTATATATTACTTTTAAAAGTATAAATATATATTATAATTATTTTTTACAAGTTTTTATATCTATGGTTACGACTAAAACTAGGTTAAACTAGATTATTTATAATTTAGTAGGTGTGAATTTAACCTTAAATAAAAATACATGTCCTAAGTATGATTTATTTATCTATCATAAACATTTTTTTTAATGTTTGGTTAGAACTACAATATCAAATATCCACTTTATAATAATTTAACACTAATAAAAAATAAAATAAAAATGTTAAATTTTATAAAAATCAAATTTAATTTATTTATGATATAAACATGTTTTTAATATCTATTATAAACTTTTAAATGATAATTTTAAAAAAATATTTTATAATAAAAATTATAAATAGAACAGAAATCTTACGAATTTTACTAATTTGATTTTTTAATCAGTGTACAATAAATAGAAAGTACTAAAGATAAATATGCATGCTACAAATTTTATTTTATCAAAAATTAATTTTTTAATATATTATATTATATATGTGAGCATTAATATATATATATATATATATATTAATTAATTAAATTTTTAAAAAATTGATTCGTTATTAAGGAGTATTATTTGTCATATATAAGAACTAATCACCTTCAAAAATTTGAAAAATATCAAATAAATAGATATCTCCTCCAAAGCCTGATAAATGCTTATGTAATTTTCTCTTCGCACTAGTAAAATATACTTATATATATATATATATATATATTTATTTTTATTCATCAGAATTACAATGCTACACTAGAGTTTAAATTTAAAATTTTGTGCACACTATTTCAAAATTTCACCTCTAAGTTGAAATTAGTGGACCAGTGGTTCATTTATACTTTTATATACTAACAATCAGTCACGGATCTAAAAATTTTAAGTAGTGGGAATAATATTTATTTATATATTTATAGGGCTAAAAAGTTTATATATTACTTTTAAAAGTATAAATATATATTATAATTATTTTTTACAAGTTTTTATATCTATGGTTACGACTAAAACTAGGTTAAACTAGATTATTTATAATTTAGTAGGTGTGAATTTAACCTTAAATAAAAATACATGTCCTAAGTATGATTTATTTATCTATCATAAACATTTTTTTTAATGTTTGGTTAGAACTACAATATCAAATATCCACTTTATAATAATTTAACACTAATAAAAAATAAAATAAAAATGTTAAATTTTATAAAAATCAAATTTAATTTATTTATGATATAAACATGTTTTTAATATCTATTATAAACTTTTAAATGATAATTTTAAAAAAATATTTTATAATAAAAATTATAAATAGAACAGAAATCTTACGAATTTTACTAATTTGATTTTTTAATCAGTGTACAATAAATAGAAAGTACTAAAGATAAATATGCATGCTACAAATTTTATTTTATCAAAAATTAATTTTTTAATATATTATATTATATATGTGAGCATTAATATATATATATATATATATATTAATTAATTAAATTTTTAAAAAATTGATTCGTTATTAAGGAGTATTATTTGTCATATATAAGAACTAATCACCTTCAAAAATTTGAAAAATATCAAATAAATAGATATCTCCTCCAAATTTAAATTTTATATATATGATAATTTAAATATATATAAATTTATTTTATTAGAATATAAATTTTATTTTTTAAAATATATTATTTTTGAATAAAAAAATATTATATAAAATTGTAAAATGGTAGTGTGGATAAGTGTTCCCACGATACTGCACCTATCTCTGCTAACAATAAAGGAAATATATTTTTTTGGTATGTACAATTTATTTTATCCTTTTATCTTTGTAATTACTTGTTTTAATTTTTTAATGTAGTTTCTTTTTTTCTTCTTTTTACTTCATTATAAACATTCGCATGCACTCTTTTAAGAATCGATTCACAATAGTATTTATTTTAAACAGAGACAGACGTGTAATGTTTTTTCTCTCTAGTAAATAAATAAAAGGAGTTTAGGTGTAGTAAAATTGATAGATATTTCAAGATTTTATTTATTTTATTTTATAAATCACATGTATTTTTTTTTTCAAGAATAATTATGTTCAAAATTATTTAAATATATTCTTTTGAATATATAACATAATTACACATCTCAAACTCAAATTAGAGATAATTGACTAGTTTAGAACATTTTTTTTTTTACGTGAGATAGAACAATCCTTGCTAATTGTTCTAACTTCTAGACGGTCGGTAGATACAAAATTCTTTTTAGGCACTTGAAGGAGATTTTGTTCGTGAAATAAAAATACACAACGAGGGACCTCGGTAGTTAAGTGGATCTGTTAGATTATACTGTAAGTTTGATTTTTAATTCTTACTAGTATCTAGCATCCGCATAGAAAATGTTTATTTTTATATAATTATAATTTATAATTTATAATAATTTTTTAAATATATAAATTGTATTATAATTATTATTTATAATCGATAAATATTTTATAATTAAGGCCAAAAAATAATTATAAAAATATTTGCATATTATCTATTAACAGTCTTTTATACGAGTAACATGAATCAAAGTGGCATCTTATTATATACGAGTCTATTCCTTGTTTAATTGGACCAACTTTTATTGGTATACACTTTCTCAATTCACAAGTCACAAACACTTATAATATATGGTAAATTTAGATAAATGGTTCATAAATCATGCTTATGTTATTATTTTTTTTAGTAAAACCCAAAGTAAAGGACACGGTATCAGTTATCATTTATTTTTGTCTTTCCTTTCAGAGTATATACTACAAGGAGTGTGATTATTTTTCCTAGTTGAAAATTGAAATGATAGTTAAATAGTTTAGTGTCATTTGTTTTTTTGATAAAATACTAGTTTAATGATATTAAAATGTCTTTGATAGACGAAGTTTGGTCTACAGTGTAGCATTGAGTAACATTTAGGCATGCATACATTGATTAAAGTGGAAAAAGCTTCCCCACTTTTGAGAAAAAATAATAACATTTCCTTTGGTTTAGGGCTTAGGGGCTATACACATAAATGAAACGTAATTCAATGCTACCCAAATTTTCATTTCCTTTTAGATCTTCTGTGTAGTGCATTACAGCAGAAACTGGCACGTGTCAAAAAAAAAAAAGAGAGATAGCATAACATACATAGCGTGTATATTTATTTATCATCATGTGTATGCGAAATCTATGGTAGGTTTATATTATATTGACCAAGACTGCGTCACGTACTGACACGTGCCTTGGTCTTCAACTGCCATATGACACACTTCACTCTCCTTTTCTCATTCATTCATTTGCATCTCTGCCAACCTCTGCTCTTCAAAAGCCATTCCAAATTCTTCATCTCTCGGCAACAAGGTACTCTCTCTCTCTCTCTCTCTTTTTATTATTTTTTATTTTTCCTGTGTCGTTTTGTGTATGATTGCATTTTGAGTTTCCAGTTTTCTTGTGATTGTGGTGGCGAGTGTGAGAGAGAAGCCTCTTGATTTCTGTGATTCCCTTCAAATAAATCCCTTTCATCGTCATTCAAAATTAATGAGGGTGAGATTTCGGTTCCCCCTATTTTACGGGAATGACAATGTGCATGGAAATATAATGTGCCATGCGATAGAAAACGAAGCTCCGGGGTTCTCACTTGTCAGATCTGAGAATTTATTTTCCCAATTTTTTGTTGCTGAGATTGGTGTCTTGATGTTGTTGCCAATGCCA